TAGTCCCTGTCTTCAAGGTCTCACAATATGATGGAAATCCGGTGATTATACTATAACATTATATTATGGGGCTATGTAAAAAGTGCTGGGGACACATAAAGGGTGGAGTGACTCATGGCTTGATGAGGGCACTTAGCCAAGCAGTGTCATATGCAGATTTCAAATTAGGAAATTCTAGGGAGTAAAATGAGATTAAAACCCTACCTACATTACTTTTATGTAAGCAAATCTATGGTGGAATAATTTTTCCTGGGATGAGGGAAGCAAGGTTTCTCTTTTCCCTGTGTCTGCTGCAGGCATGGCTGTCTCCTGCCCCTGCCTGCCTGCTCTGGCCTGTACCCCAGCCCCAGGTCCCCAGCTCTCTGCCACAGCCCCCTCGCCTTCTGATGCCTTAAAGCTGGGCCCCAGGCCCTGCTGGCCAGAGCTTCAGACGCCGAACTCTGGGAGCTGAACTATGGACCAAACAGCTCTGGCCCGGGGATTGGCCCCCCTACCTAGGGTCTCCTCCCTGGGGACAGTAGAAGGCCAAAGCCTTCCTCTTGGCCAACCAACCCCACCACTCCTTCCACCCAGATGGACTTTCTCTGCCAGCTTATACCAGTACCCCTGCTGCCTGGCTGTGGGAGTCAGGCATGGCACCCATCTCACTGAGCCTCTGCTGTCGCCCCCTTGTTGAAGATGAACTATACCCTCCAGTCCCAGGCCAGATCACTGGAGCTGGCCTCCTTCCGGCCCAGCCCCAGAAACCAACAGCTCTGTGCAGATAAGCTCTGCACCTGCCCACCAGCAAGACCTGTTGACCTGAGGTGACCCTGGGCCCTGCCCCTGGTCAACTGGGCCACCAGCTTCCCTCCCCTCACTGGGGGCCCACATCCACTCCAGGGGATGTCCTCTTCCCAATCTCCCCACACAGACCTTTGCTGAATTAAAGTTTGTAAGTAAATGGTAAAAAAAAAATGTAAAAAAAATGTAAAAATGTAAAAAATGTAAAAAAAATGTAAAAATGTAAAAAAAAAAAAGAAATGTAAAGAAAAAGCAAATGAGAATACCCTTACTATGTACTTTGTATTTGGATTCATTTTATTTATATGTTGCTTTTTTCTTAGGAGTTTATAGTATGTTGCTATGTTGTTTCTCAAACAAATTTGATGGATACAGGTGGTAAAGAACTCAGTTGTGAGTTTATCAAATCAAGTCCATATCAATCCTGGAAAAACAGTACCCATTTGCTCTTAAATGTCAATGAAAAAAAGAAAAACAGCAGCACTGAGGGAAAATGGAATGGTTTCATCTCATTTTAAATGGAGAAGGCATACATTTATTTAAAACATATTAACTGGGGGGAAACAGAAAAAAGCATAGTTGGGGAAAAGAATTTAAAAAAAATAAGGGAAAGGAATAAAACTTAGTAAGCAGGAATTACTTCAGGATGGTGTTAAAAGACAGGCAACATCTGATTGATGAGAAATAAATGAATTGTGTTTAAGTTTGAAGAAAATGTGGATAGAAGCAATAAGAGCCAGGAAGATAGTTTCTACTTTGAATGTGAGTGAAATGAGACTGGTGAGCTATAGTCAAAAACTTAGTCAGAATTAGACCAAGACATCTTCATAGGATTTGACAAATGATTTAGTATCACATATGATGCTTCGAGGTGGTGAATTTGCTACTTATGTGAAACAAAAAAGGGGAAGGGGGATATAATTTTTGACCTCTCTTTCTTGCTACCTTTCTAGTATTTCGAATTTTATTAATACTGGTTCAAAATGGAGCTAATCAATTTCCCATGCAAAACTAATTTTCCTCTGGACCTATCTATTGTGGTGAATTATAACACTGATTTTCTAGTCACTTAGATGCCAAACTGTTATTTTGTCTTTTCCATCTCCTACATTAAATTATTTGCCTAGTTGTCCAAGTCTACTCTGTCTAATCCATCTTACCTTCCTTCTTATTTCCATGGTCACCGCTCTAATGCTGGTCTCTGTTCTTTCTTGCCTGAGCATGCAGAGCCTGCTAGCTCGTCCCTCACATTGTACACAGTTGATGATGTTAGTCTTCGGATAGCCAGATCTGATTATATCACTCCCCTTGCTCAAATCCTTTTCGTGACTTTTCATTACTTCAGAATAAAGTCAGGTGTTCAGTGCTGCCACAATTTACTGATAGCCTACTTTCCCAGGTTTATTTCCAATGACTTCCTTACAGTCTTCTTAAATTCTAATAAAATTGGACTTTACACTAATGCCCTAACACAACCTATGCTTTTCCATCTTCACAGCTTTGCATTTGTGTTCGCTCTGCATGGAATATCCTCTATTTCCCCCTCTATCCAACATGCCCGAACCTATGTTCAGATTCCTTTGTGAAGTTCTTCTCTGGTATTTCAAATTCTTTGGAGCTTTTACCTTATTTGAACTCTCACTGTATTTTTGTATTTTTGTGTCACATCCCTTACTATATGTTCTATTACAAAAACATATGAATTATTTTTATTTTCTACACTACCTTACAGCATTTTCCAGGGTGATTTGTGTATTACTCATCTTTATGGTTCATTAATCAATAATTAGTAACAAAGCAAAATATTTATAAAAATAAGATGTATTTGATCATTCATTCAAATTTTAAAATTTGAGATGTGTCAGTTCCTAATGAAAAGTACTATGCAACAAAATGAAAATCATCCTTTCATATTTTCTATAGGCTTCATGTATCAAGATCAGGTTGTCAATAATAAATAATATTACTGAAAATAAAGTGGCAGTCTCTTTGTGGTTTAGCTTGGGGAAGTCTGAATTATTCTCACACAAGTAGCCACATCAAATAAATGGTCTGTGTTAAATACAACCAGCTGCTTCTCATTTAGAGAGATTAAAATGCAAAGAAAAAAAGACATTGTGTATAGACAAATAATACAGTCAGCCTTGTTCTGAGATTATTAAAAATAGGTTTTCAAGTGCCTTCTATTCAGTAAAATTAGCACATCTCTTATTTTAATTTTTAAAATAAATTTTTTCAGTAAATTTATACTGAAATTATTTCATTACTATTTTACATTTGACCTGTTTTACCAGTACAATATATTAAAGCTTTGAAAATTTGTTTTCCCTTCTTTAAAAATAGAAATTCTCACATGAATACAATTTAAATTCAAACACATGTGCTTGAAGATCCTTCTTTAGGCTGAAATGGTTCACATGGGGTGTGTAAACATGGAAAAGTATTCTACTATCCTAAATTATGAATTACATAAAATGAATAAAGCTCTAGCAATTGGAATTTGGTTGATTTTGATGGTAAACTGGGAGATCTGGAAAATGATGTCGACATGTAATGATGTTATTTGTTTTCATCTATTCTATTAAATGAAGATAGTTACTAAGCTTGCTGCCATTAATATGTTGTTCATTAAGTTAATTAGAAAGAAATATCCCCAATGTTATACTTTTCTGCATTTCTCTTCTTCCTTAGTGTGTTATTAAAATGAATCATTTGCCTGTGCAGGCTTTGCTCCCCCTGACATTGGCTTTTCATACTACTGCAACATTGGGGCTGGTATTCTGGTATTTTTCAGTATCGTATCTATATGCACCATACACTACAAGCATCAGAGAATATTATTTGGTCTTTTATCTTGGTTCCTGGCACACCAACTTTTTTTTTTTTTTAAAGATTGAATCTGTTTTAGTTGGCGAGCCTCCAAAATGAAATGTTAATGGATAAATGAAATAATAAGGTTTATTTTTACTGAATTGTGCTGCTGAGTGTCTTGTTTGACACAGACTGTGGTAAATCTGCTTTTTTTTTTCCCACCCTCTAGGAACATGTGAGTCCTAGCTGATGGGGAAACAATCATTATCATCAATTCTTGTCTGGGCCACCACTAGGTGGATGGCACTGATCCTTTATCACAGACTCTGGCATGCCAAATGCCCAAGGTCCTCCATCAATCACAGGCTTGAGATACACCATGAGTCCCACCAGAACCAGGGACCTTTGGTTATGGCACAGCCAGGATAATAACTTAGGTACTATTCGAATAGCTCTGGTAATTTTGTGGAAATAACAATTTAACTACTACATCACACTGTGATTTGGAATAATTTAACTGTTACAATCCCATCACCATTCTTCTATATAGAGAACAGAATACAGCACTTCAACTCTGAAGCAGTTTTTTGGTATTGAATTTAAGATCTAGGAAATTTGGTTCTATTCAGAGAATTTCCTCCCCCCATCAGGCATCTCAGAGTTGTTTTTGTTATAACATTTCTTTTACGATGTAAGATTTTCCTTTGCATCTTGACTTATGATGGCTAGTTATTATTAAAACTAGGCATTGTTAATCATAAAAAGCTGAAAAGAAAAAAGAAGGAATATAAATTACTTCGTCAGACCCACAAAGAGACCCACTTAAATAGATTTGCAATGGGAAATAGCAAGACTATTGAATTTAAATAACTTACCATATAAAGTTTTAAAAAAATGACCAAATCCTTAAAATTTCAAGGATCAAGATTAAAGTTTTAAATTAAATTAATTTTCTCTCATACAAACATAATCCTCCTTATAATGTGCTCTGTTCTTTTAATTCTATAATTTACCTATGTTCATTTGGTTTAGTATATATTTTTTTCTGTTTTTCTTCCTTATTATGTCTTAATCTCCCCTGTGGGGAGGGGCCACTGCAGATCTTTAATTATGCCATATGTCTCTGAGTACTGAGTAAACATTAGGTGATTGGGCTATCAGGATAGAGCTATGAGGATATTGCCATCTTTCTATTTCTATGCCATCTACAAAAATATGAAGCTTTTGTTCTAGCTTCCTATGTCCACGGGCAAGAATGGTCTGAATGGAGGATGGGAAGTGACTATAAATGTGGGGATATGACATTTTGTATTTTTTAATGTTTATTTCATTCCTGCAAAGATTGTCTTTTACCACTATGAATGTTACAATGTACAGTATACATAGTAGTTGTTTGAGAAACATTTGTGCCTCTTGATAATAGATGACAGGACTCTGTGGTTGCTTATTCTCTGTCATCTTCATGGAATTGACGTGGTAACAGTTGCATCCTAAAAGAGAGAGGTTAAAGTCCTAGAATCATCCAGGTCATCCTTGAGCGGCTTTAACATGTCTGCTCAGTATTCAGTAGTTAATTCTTCACCAAGTAGAATTTAGTCGCTCCACTGGGCTTCTCTTTATTTTGTCATATTTGCCACCAAAAAAGCAAGTGAATAAGAAAATGTAAGAGAACTAGGAGATATGGTTACTGTTTAACAATGCACCCAGTTGTTGGCTTGTGGCTTTTATCCAGATGAGAATGACTGTGAATGATTCCAAAGGCCAAAAGACGTTTTTACACCAGAATGAGTTACTATTAAACAGATTCTGAATACAAAGTTTTTTTTTTCCTCAAAAGCCACTTTTACTAATATTTGTAAATATGTCCCTCAAAGAGGTTGAACTAGGTGTAGTATTACCTGGAGGAGGGCACTACTAGACAGATAGGTGACCAACCATCTTTTGTATCTTAAGTTCCTAAGACAGTCACTGTTTTTTTTTTGTGTGTGTGGCTATGGATAGTTTTGGTATACAGTGCAATTCCTTTGTGCTGCCTGTGATAAAGGATCTGATGACAGGTTAACATATTATTATATATAAACATGTTTAAGTAGAGACTGGAATACAGGCTCCACATTAGGGATTTTTGTCTATTTTGTTCTCTTAAGCATCCCAAGATTTAAAACAGTACCTAACACATAGTAGTCACTAAGGAGATAGTTACTGAATAAAACATTAGAAATATGGGCATTATTTTTGCATTTTGTTGTCTTTGGCTATATAAGTTGTGTTTTTTTTCTGTTTTCATAATAATAATAGTCAGCAATCAAGACAGAAAAATACTTCTACCACAAGTGTTTTCTTTCTTTTACTTTTTGCTATTTCTCTCAAATAGGTTGATTATATGTGTTGATGTTTTGATTTCATTGCATAATGAATGCACTGTAGAAATCAAACAAAGCTTTAGTGAAGATTATTTTGAACAAACCAATAGAGTATTTAATAATTTTATTTGCAAAATATATTTCAGAAGCATTTTATTGCTAGCCTTACAATAGAAATATTAATAGTATCTTCTACATTATGCAGACAGCAAATGATGAGACAGGCATGGCAAAGCACCTCTATGGAATGACTTACACATTTTTATAGCAATATTCAACTGTTCTTAGAATTGAGAATTTTTATTCTAATAATGATATGGGTAATATGCCAATAAGACACGTATAAAGGTGAGACCTGTAATTCATTTTGCAAAATACAGTTATTTACAACTGATTTTCAGAAATACCTCTTAAGCATTCTTCTTTGCTTTCTAGGTTGTTCCATTGGATCTATGCTGCTATTTAGAGTGCTACCTTAGCACCACACCTTTTCCCACTGTTGACTTTAAGAAAATACATTCACACTCAACATACATATGTACATTCTGTAGTGTTCATCCTAATGTGTCTTTTTGGTTTTCTTCTAGGCACAAATACTACTTCTAATGGACACTATTAATAATAATAGTGATGATAGTAATATAAACAATAACAACAATAACCTAATCTGGATTAGTTTATTTATTTTCATAGATTTAAACTTAAATTATTGTTTCTTGACTCCAGAAGTAAACAGTTCCTTAGGGACCTCTGAGACCAGTGAGAATAGAGCAAAGAGGTCAACTGTTAAGCTTGTCAGTCTTCATTTTTATGCTGGGCTATATCCCTTCTGGTAGTTTCACTTCAGTGAAGAACTGGAGAGCTAGTATTTTACTGTCTTTGCAGTGCGGGAGATTCTAACTTGGGAAGTCATAGCAGAATGAGGGAAAGTCTTATTTATTTTTCTAATATTTTTCTGGTGGCCAAATGGATCTAATTTTACCCCAAATTTTGGCATACTTTTGGGTAGATTAAATGAAAAGAGGATTGAAAGTGGAACACTGTAGAATTGTGAATATATTATTGAGAGTATCTAAAGCAAACATAAATAGAAATGAAGAGAGAAATAGATAGCAACACAATAATATTAAGAGACTTCAATACTACACTTTCAATAATGAATAGAAAAAAACAGACAGTAAAGAAACATAGAAACAGCAAACTTGAATAATACTACAGACCAAAATACTACAGATCTATACAAAACATTCTGCCAAACATCAGCTATGCATTCTTCCGAAGTGCAAACATAACATTGTCCAAGATAGGTCACATATTAGGTAACAAAACAAGTCTTAACAAAATTAAGAAGGTTGCAATCATACCAAATATCTTTTCTCATCAAAATGGACTGAAACTAGATATAAATAACAGAAGGAAAATTTAAAGATCTAGAAAATTTCTGATAAATCATATAATGCTATCTGCTAATACTACAGCTGAGGAAGCAGGGGTCTGGAGAGGGTGCACATCTTCTAATTAGTGGCAGAAAGTGTTCATCTAAGTTTTTTTGACTCCACTACAAAGTGTTTTCCATCAGAAAAATACAACTGCTGCTAAGTGGATAGATGTTGTGTAAGTCTTGACTGCAGGATTGAAGAGGTACTTCAGTGCCTGTTCCTTTATGATTCTAATAAAACTTCCTAGCACAGAAATATCTTTTTGACTAAGATGTATACCATAACCTAGAAATTCTACTTCTCAATATATACTGTAGAGTAACACATGCAATATAAGGATTCATAAAAAAGGATGCTTTTTGCAGCAATGTTTGTAATAACAATGTCCTGGAAAGAATTTAAGTGTCTCTATATAAGGGGAATGGCTAAATAAATCTTAATATTTTTATTCTATGAAATACTATGTAACAGTTAAAAAGAATGAGTCATGCCTATATTTGGCAAAAACAGCTGAATTTTAGGGTATTTGATAATAAAAAATGAAAGTTGTAGAATATGTACAGTGTATAAAACACATAGCCGTGTAAAAAGCAATGTTACATAACATTTTTGAATCCATGTGATGTGTATGCAAAAGTATTTATAAAGGGTGGGAAATAAATTAAGTTGTAATAGAAATAATCAGCTATAAGGAAAGTGGTTGTGAAAGGGGGTTTGCTTTTGTCTCTATGTCTTAAATTTGTAAAAAAAATAGAATGTATGTATTCATGAATTTATTGGTGTAATGTAAAAAACAGGTTTGTTAAAGCAATTATCCAACACACACTTAATATGTCTGTATTTTGACGTTACCTTCCACTGGGGGCTGGGAGAGCATGTGCAGATATGCAAGAGGAGACTGTCATTCTAGGCTGCCTCATGTTCTATAAAGCAAATAACATAAATAAATTATAGATATTTAATTATTACAGGAAAAAGGAAATAATAAAGAATTATGGGGCAGTAGTAAAAGAAGACAGTAAAAGTGATCATGTTTTTATCAACAAAGAGTCAATTTAGTTAATAATAAAAAACCAATTTTTTCCAGGTCCAAACAAGTGATCCTCACATAATGGCTATACATATTCTCTGAAAAAGTTCAGAATTTTCAGTCTTTGGTTATTCTGAAATATCTTAGCTTTTATTACTTCTGTTCTTAATTGTAATATGTGTTTTGACATCAACAGAAATCAGAAAAAAATGGGTAAAAATCAGGATCAGGAAACAAAAGGGAATATTTAAGCATATATAAGACAGATATAGGGAGAAACAATAAAGTATGCAGAAATGCTAAATTATTGCTAAGGACAGGTGGTATCTGATTAAAATGTTTATCTATCTGAGCTTTGAGCCCGCTGCTAGCAAACATGTCATCTTAAAATGAAGTCTTATTTATAGGAAGAAGAGCTTCATGAATAGCCATTTTACATCAAATATGATTCACAGTGAAACTCTGTGAGGTTTATTTATGGGAAGCTATGTAGTGTGGAGGTTAAGATCACAGGCTTAGGGCTCAAATATAACAAAGTTTTGAAACCTGGTTGTACCATTTACAAGTTTTAAGATCTTAGGTAGCTTCTTTAACCTTTTTTAAGATCTTAGATAGCTTATTTAATCTATCTGTGCCTCAGTTTACTTTTTTGTTAAAGGTAAAAATATTGTGTACCTCACAGATTGTTTTAAGGAAGTAATAAATGCGGTAATGAAAGAAAAGTACTCAGCTGAGTAAATGCTCAGTAAGTTAAAGAAGGGACACTTTTTTCTGCCTCCAGCAGAAAGTGTGTAAAGGTAGAGGCAGACTGTAAAATGATAGCCTTTTATCAGTGTTCTACAAAACAAAGTGTAGAATATTTAAGTCTTTAATTTGCTAAATAGGCACCAAAGATTTGAAAGTTTAATTTCCACAGTGATGTTCTTAAGTCTTAGATAAGGAGAGAACAATGAGAGGTTTTTCTCGCTCTAACCTAGCCAAGGAAAAAGGGAGAGTCGGAACACAGGGCCAGAGAGAGGCTGGAGACAAAGGTGACAGTAGGGAGGTGACATATGCCCAGCGTGCTGCCCACGGGGCTGTCCTCTGCTCAGAGAGGATAACTGACTTCTACTGAGGAGGATTTGGTAGAAAAGAGATTGAGATAAATAAAAACATGGAGAGAATCTGCCAATGTTAAATTATTCCACAGGTGTGTGGTTCCTTTAGAAATACCTATTATGGGAGCATCTTTCACAAGCTTTACTTTTTTAAATAAAACCGTTGATCTCAGACATCTGGAGAGCTTATGGTTTATCTGTTTCTTAAAGTTATCTCTAAAGTAGGAAATTCCATAAACTCCAGTTTCTCTTTGTTAAATAATTCTATAATTAGGAAGGTCTCTCTTTTATCTAATTATTATGTCTGAACACACACACATACCCACCCCTACACACATACACATAAATTTTGCCAGAATTAGATGAAAATTTTATGACTACATGTTTTTTTTTCTAAATAACTAAAGCCTACTGGAAATTATTGATTTTCAGTATTTTTTGCATGGATAGACTGATTTCTTCTTCTTTACTAAAATGGAAAATATCTATTTACCATCTTTTGCATAATAACTTTGCATAGATTTGAACTTATTCAAAGCTGATTGTCAAGATGGTAGTTGAAATCCAAGTCAATAACCTAGTATTCTGTTTTGCTCTTTTAAATTAAACTTTATCTTTGCTTTTAGGAGTTTCATTAATTTAGCCAATGGGATTTTGCAAATGGGATTTTTCTTATATATTAGACCTTCTTCAATAGGTAGTTAAGTTAGAAATGACAATGAACCAAATCTAAGCATCTTTCATTTATTGTAGAAATAGAACCGTTTAAATAAAAGTCTGATTCTAATTCAGTATCCACACATAGTTTTAAAAAGCAAAACAAACTAGTTGGTTATCAATATCCTCTAACGAAATTCTGTACATGGTATTGAAAATGCTAATGTACTATATAGTCTGTTTTGTTTCCCTTTTTTGCACTCAGTGAAGAGCCAAATTTGCTATTCAATCTCAGTAAACACAGCTGGGGTGGTTGATATATTTATTTTATTCCCCTTATGCATTTAAAAAATCAAACTTAATAATCTTATTTTATATATATGGTCTTTTATAATAATAAATTCCTTTTGGAAGCTGGCAGAATATCATTTATATAGAGGATAAATAATGAGTTCTACAGTTTTTTGCAAACTGTTTCCATTAAATGCAACAGGAAGTGGTTAGATTGAATAATCTTTAGCATTCCTTCTTGATCTAAATTTCTATCATTATGACTGGGGTTTTGAACAACTATATCCAACTTTTCCATCAGAACAATGAAAACTCGTTTTATTTTAAATTATGGGTTATCAGTAAATTTTGTAATATTATAATCATTAAAGGAATCATGAACAAGTTGCATTTTTAATATTGTGTAGTCATATACAGTGTCTGATAATTCAGAGCAAGAGATTTGGGACACATTTTTCAGGAAAGGAAGTTTCTTGCTTTCTTGAATGGTTTTCCCCAGCATCTCTCTAACCCACCTGAAGCTTTGCCTATAAATTGTGTTTTTCATTAAAGAATGCAGGTTAATTTAAACACTAAGACTACTGTGAAATGATGAAAGCCATTTTCTTTCTTAGGGTAAGCGGAGCACAGTTTATCTAGAGTAAAACCTCAAGAGATTAATCACTGAGTTAAGGATGCAAGTACAGTGTTTCTTAAATTTTGATGTGTCTACAAATTGTATGGTGATCTTGTTAAATGCAGATTATAATTCAGTCGGTCTGGGATAGGGTCAGAGGTCTTACATTTCTAACAAGCTCCCTGCTGATAACAATTCTACTGGGATTTCACATAACAATAATGTATTTAACTCTAATATTTGGGGCTAAATAAGGTTAATACTTTTGACTTGAAATCTACAAGTGTTTGGAGGTCAGTTTCTCTCGTGAACTTTCATAGACTTCAGTATTGATGGTTAAGGTGTGTGGTGCCAAGTTAGTATGTTGAGACATAAATTGTCCCTTTACTAAGGTGATTTGTTTACTGGAATGAAACTAAATCTTCTAACACATGGTGTAGGCCAACTGTGTCTACAGATATATGCACATGGGTTTTGAAGTAAATACAGAATTTTTAAATGTATCCATGCTATTTAACTTTATTTTGGATGTTACAGATGATTTCATATGAACCAGTGTCAGGGTAGGAAAAAAGTTGGCTGCAGCAAGAGTAGACTCTGTAGAGTCTGTGCACAGAAGCAATTCATGTAAAAGTATATTGAAAAATTTAAAACTATTTTTTATATATATCATTACAAATGAAGCTTATTTGGGAAAATTAAAACATACTGGTGAATCATAAAGTTATCTTTGTTAGGTTTTTGACTTCTTTAATTTTTTTTGATGTTTTTACCAGGTGTTAAGGTCATCATGTCAACCAGAGGAGGGATAATGGTTGGTAAATTTGTGTGTGTGTGTATATCTATATATGTAGATATAGATATATATGTGTGTAATTATGGTTGAGTAAAAAGGTGTGTATTAGCTTACTTTTATATTCATACTAAAATGTTTATTAAATGTCCACTTTGTGCTAAGAAGTTTGTCAATGCTGTACCAGTGGATGGTTAGCAATTTTTTTTATTGGTCCTAAAACATTCAGAATTGTCTCATTTACTGGAAAAAGTAAAAAATACCATTATGGAATATAAGAACCCAGTGCTGAGAAACTTACAGTAGAATTAGGAGACAATACACATGAAAAGTTTTAAGGGCTTGTCAAAAACTTAACATAATAATATTTTTCTTTTAATTGAAAATGGCCATACTGCCCAAACACAGGAAGGAAAAGGCTATAAAGTTTGGATAGCAACTTGGTACATATTTGAATGAACTGATCAAAAGTGGAAAATATTCATCAATGAATCCCCAAAAGCACATGATTTTTGAACTAGAGTTTGAAGAAATTAAGTGACACCACTGCATCACTCACAAACAGTGGGATAAGGAAGTCACTTGGAATAGCAAGCTGATAAACTTATTGGGAAAATAGGATTTGTGCTGGGAAATGGTAAGAATTACAATGAGATTCGGGTGGATGGGTAAAGTGATCTAAATGTTGGGTGGAATTGAGTTTTACTAAAGAAATCAATTCAGAGACATAAAGAATTTTAGAGCAAGATAATCCTTTATCTTGCATCTTCCCTTCAGTCATGAGAAAACTGACTTTACTAGGATTACATGGCCACCGGTGGCATTGCCACTTGGGATTAGAGCCCAAGGTTTCCTGTTTTCAGTGTTCTTTTCATATTTCCTGCTACTCTGCAAAACAATGTCCCACTGACCAAGAGCAGAAGAGACACATGAGTACAATGATAATACAGAAATACTTTCTTTGGAAATTTCTATTTTATATACTACAAGGAAATCAATCTCTTCCCCTTCCCTCTGCCTTTTACTCTATAGACTCTGATCTTCTGAAAGTCGGTCATGCCCTAACCCTTTCATTGTCCAGCTTCTCTCTTGGTGAATGTTAGTTTGTGGCATCCTTTCTGCTACACAGCAGGAGCAGGGTCACCAACTGCAGCATAGGCTCTACCCCTTCTGCCTGATAACACCCAGCTCCAATCTCAGGGCAACATCCTTGGGTGTCTCCCAAAGACAGATGCCCCTCCAATCTGCTCCAAACCTCACCCTAGTTATGCTGCTGCCCCGGATACAATTTGGAATCCTCTCACTGTCATCACTCAGCAAAACAGATGGAACCTTTGATGGAGTTTATAGTTCCAGTTCTGTATTGAGCAGAAGGGAGAAAGGACTAAAGAGTGTTAGGCTTTTAAAGGAGAGCTTCATTTGGCTCTGGCAGCTACTGTAATATATCTCAGAGTGCCTGTCATCTGGAGGAGGATGGGTTAGCACTGATTTCAGCGTTTCTTTGTCTCTCTAAGGATCTTGAAGATTGTTTTCTACAAGGCATGGTTGGGGAAACTAGTTTTGCTTCTATTACAGATGCACAAGGTCACTATATCAGCCCTTCTAAATCATAATGTTTAGGGAAGGATGAAATATGGTCATCCTGTAGACTCTTTTTAGTACCAGGGAATCAAATATGTCCTCTGAAATGGAAAGTGAGTTCAAAGGAGAAGTAGAGAATCCTATTTTCTCAATCCCCTGTAACCACACTTTGCATTTTCCCAGGTACATGACTCTTTTCCTTTGCACCTTTTGTCTGCAAGGACAAATACCTACTCCAAGGGGTGTAAAGTCTCTCTGAGAAGTTTTTTTTGTTTTTTTTTTTGTTTTTTTTTTAAGAGACAGAGTCTCTCTGTCCTCCAGGTTGGAGTGTATAGTTGGCATGATCATAGCTCTCTGCAGCCTCGAACTTCTGGGCTCAACCCATCCTTCTGACTCAGCCTCTCTTAGTGCTGGGATTCTAGGCATGAGGCACTGTGCCCAGCCTTCTTGGGAAGTTCTAGTCTTCTGAATTTCGTATGTATTAAATATCATGGTTGGAAAGCCTTAGAAACATTGATAAGCTTCATATTATCATAGTTATTTTAGTTTGCCAAATAGACATGAAATGCTGTCTTGCCAGTGTAATACAGCCTGGCTATTACTGTGTCACAGTAGGCCTAGCTATAGTGGACTGAACAGTGGTCTCTAAAAAGGTATGTCCATGTCTTAACCCCTGGTACCTGTGAATATGACCTTATTTGGAAAAAGGATCTTTAAAGATGTGATTAAGGTACAGATCTCCAGATGAGATCATTTGGGATTAACTGACTCTAAATTCAATGACAACTGTACTTATAAGAAGAGGAGAACATAGATAATAGAGGAGAAACACAGGGAAGATATGAAGATGGAGGCAGAGGTCAGAGTTATGTAGTTAAAAGCCAAGGAACACCAACGATTGCCTGTGGCCACCAAAAGCTAGAAGAGGTAAATAAGGATTCTCTTGTGAGTTTCACAGGGAGGGTTGACCTGCCAACATGCTTGATTTCAGACTTCTGGTTTCCAGAACTGTAAACTAATAAAATTCTGCTGGCTTAAGCTGGTTTAAGTTGGTGGTAACTTCACTAAGTTGATGGCAATTTGTTATGGCAACCCTAAAAAGCCAATATACAATGTATAGAAACATGGAGAAGACTGACGGTGAATACTGCCTGCCTCTTCTGCTGAGATGTCAGCCAGCCTGGCCCTGAAGAGAGTGGAAACTAGATCTCACTAGAAACCTTGCAGTCATACCCCTACTCCCTGAGATTGTAATCTTCTGCATTTAGTCTTTCCCAAATTTTAATCCTTAAAGGGTTCGTGCTAATTCTTGCTTCACCCACACTCACATTTCTCCACTTCTCCAAACAGTAATAGCTATATAATTTTGGGGGTTCAATACAAGATGACAATGTAAGTTCCCTTGTTTAAAAATTAAGTATTTCAAGGCAGGCACAGCAGAGCATTAAGCAATGCTCTTAAAAGTAGAGCTTTGTTTGACTGCACAGGTTACAGGCCCATGAAGCTGGCCCTGCCTCTTACATCTAACTACTCTGACTTTGCAGAATCCTCATTCAATACTGAAAAATACCAGTACCCTTGTAAACTATTCACACAATCTATTTTATGGCTTTAAGTAGAAATCAGCTTTCTTTTGAGAATAGCTTCCCCTAGATGTCCCTTCAATGTAGACTGCTCATTGTCTTACACTCTAGGGACATTAGGGATAACATTGACATCCTGTGGCTCCCTAGTATTGTTTCTGAACTGTTAACTCTTTCTTGTATCAGCCCTTGATTCACTTAGGATCTTCCTCCCTGGACATGCACTTCCTGTACCAATTGTGTATAGTCATCCACTCAGTTCTGGATCAGTCCACTACATTCATGGAAGTCTTTGTTAAGTCTTTGTTTTGTTATATATGGGATCACTGTTGGTGGCTTCAATGTCTATGTAGATAGTTTTTTCAATATCTTAATTCCCAATTGCTTGATCTTTATTCTATGCCAGCCAACCCTACTCATAGCTCCTCCATAGACCATGCCATCATTTTACTTCTAAAACTTCAAAGAAAAACCATACTATTTCCCACTTATAACTTCTTATCTTCCTATCTTTCTCATTTGATGGAGATTTGTGGTTCCTTGACTCCTCCTTCTTCTCCCTGATTTTGTCCTCACTTATTTTCCTATCTAGTCTTAAGTTAACCTCATAGCCCTCTCAAAAATAGCATCCAAGCTCTCTCTTTCTCTTTCCATCATGTTAATGTCACTTGGCACCATCCAAAAGTTGTATTAGTTAAACTTTTTGCATTTAGAGTCCAATATTTGACAGCGATTCACATGTTTGTGTGGAACTACTGTTACCACCAATTCTTCGACTCAGACACCAACACTTGTTTGGATTGAGGGTCAGGTTCTATCATTTCCAACACCAGTGACCACAAACCTTCTGCATCATCTCCTTACTTTTCTAGTAGAAATGAAAGGTCTCTAAAAATCTTCAATCTACTCTAAATAGATAAAACTGTTTTATAAACAGTGTTTCATAAGTCATTATTTTGTCTTACATGAGAAAACGAGGTTACTATTTATTCATTTAAACACTGCTTATCAAGCACCTATTTTATGGAGGTACTAATCTAAGTGTTGAGGAGATAGCCCTTGGGCATACGTTCCAGTGATCTGATGACTTCAAATATGTAGTTCAAAAGCATATCAGTGAGGGCTATTGGTTTTTATCAAATCTATCAAAAATACAGAATTTACAAAGCACATTTTGTGAATATAACGAATACATTTGTAGAATCATAAAAATCCAATCATGGTAGTGGAACTCATAAGTTCAAACATTTTAGCATCATTCTCTTATGGGATCTTTATATTAAACAGGGCTTATAATAATTTGCCTCAGATAATATATGTTATTATATAAAATGATAATTATAGGCCTTAGAAATATGCCAAATTAGTTTTGAAGCTATACTATATATATATATCTCAATCTCTTTGATTAGTGCTTGTATAACCACACAAATAACTATGACCTTAGAAAACAAAACGTGCCTTTGTCACCAATTAGAAAAATCATATTAACAGATTTAAAGAATGCTGATCAACCTTGAAAGCAGAAAGACCTGAGTTCAAAACTGGTTTGGATTCTTCCTAGCTATTTAACCTTATTCAAAATATCTAAACCTGCTGAGCCTCAGTTTACTATCTGAAAATAGAGATAATTATTTCTATATTGTGGGAGGGTGGATATTGAATAATTTAAAAAGTCTGAGTGTAGCACCATTAGCAGACTCTAAAGTGTTAATTAAAATGAAATATTTATCTGGTTATATTTTCATATTTCACATAGATTTTGCCTAAAGAGGGGATTCGGAAGTGTCAATAGTGAAGTGGCAGACATCATAGGCCTTGGGTGGGAGGCCAGGGCACAGTGTGAGTGAGCAGATTAGTGCTGAGAAGACTGACCACTGATTACCAGTTTCAGGAAACAGAGGAGATCACAGATCTTCAGTGAGAAACCAGCTTCTCCGGAAGCAGAGAACTCCTTAATTTTTATCAGCAGCACCCTCATCCAGCTAAAATGGCTATTAAAGGGCACAATGAGACCTTAATAGTCAGGAATTTATTTTCCTTAATAAGGACCTGAAAGAGAAACTTGATAGACATTGTTTTCTGCTTTTCTTTGCACAAAAAGTTCCCTGCATCGCATGCTGCTTCCCAATCTGCTAAAATAATCTGTTAATAAATGCGAAGACACAGATTCTGGGTGCAGATAAGACAACTGTGTACATTCCTACCCTCTTCATAATCCAAGATAAGATCAAAGAGCAACCTTGTGACACCTGGAGCGCAAGCCCTGGGGCGCGCACAAAGCGGCGGGAGGGAAAACCTGCTGCAGCGTCCGGGAGCTGGAAGAGAATGGGAATTCCCCCAGTCACATCAAACACATTCTTAACAGAACCTCACAGACGTCCGGGGGAACTGGAAGTGGCAGGCAGTGAGGACACGAGTTTTGTGACGATCACCGATGATTAGTTCTGTGTTAACGCGCCCGCAGGGAAAAGAGCTCTCCCCAGGACGCCAGCAGGGACGAGCCACTGTCGCGCTTGCCCCGGAGCTCCCGGGGGGCCGGGTTTGCTCGGAGAGCGAGACAGCGCCTGGGAGCCGAGCTCTGCGCCGGGGGCGGGACGCGGCGACCGCTCCCTCCGCCCCCGGAGTGGCTGCCCCCGCCCGGCTGCGCCCCGGCCCGGCAGCGCAGCGGCGCCGCATCCCCGCGCACCGTAGAGGCGGCGGCGAGCGAGAGCCCGCGTCGCGGCTCCGGGCCGCAGAAGGGCTGGGGAGCTCGCACGCGAGAGGACCTGGCCCGGGCTCGGCGGGCAGCGCCGGGCGCGGCTGGTACGTACCTGGTGGCCGGGGAGCTGAAGTGGGTGTCGTGGTGCGAGGATAGGGAAAGGACTTGGGGTGTCGGGGGAGACCGAGGGAAGGAAGATGTGCTAAGTGCAACTTTCCCATTTTCCGCCCGCTCTGCACAAGTATCTAGGGAATTCAAAGCAGATGCCTTTTTTGATAGGGTGATCGCACCTTTTAACATGCAAACCAGGGTACTTTTAGAGTGAAAGGGGGACGCTCAGGTCAGCAGGCGTAACCCGGACAGTCTGGCCACCTGCTTTTTGCCCACTCCGCCCTGAAGGTGGGCAGTAGTGACCTCCTGTCACAAGTTGCCCAGCCCTTCTCTCTGGCCAGCAATGCCCGGTCGTTTTTCTTGGGCGGCGCTTTCCAAGCCCCTGGCAGCCGCGAGCCGCCCCCGGGTCAGCAGAGAGTTCTAACCCGCTCTGCCAGCGTCGAGCTGTGTGGCTTTAGCTAAGTCACCCCACCTCACGGGGCTCCGTCCTTTCTTTTGATAAAATATGGGGGTAGGTAGACCGGATGGACCTAAGGGTCCCCTGCAGCGATTGGATTTTCCCTGCTCCTAGGTCGCCAACAGACCGCGGTGGAGGGACCCGGGTGCAAGGTAGTCGCAGGGGCTGAGGGACCTGGTGGTGGGTCCTGGCTGTTGCCTGGCCGCCGCCGCTGCTGCTGCTGCAGCCCCTTGGGAAGCTCCTGAAGGTGCCTTCTAGGGAGAGATGACCTGCCTTACCCGCTCCCCGGGCTGGCCAGTCCCGTCTGAGCGAGGCCCAGAAGGTCAGGTCAGACTCTTCTTCGTAGAGCTCCTCTCAGCGAGCACAGCCAGCCGAACTCGGGTCCTTTAGAAAAGTGCTTGGCATGAGCTAGGCACATGGGAAGCACTAAAATAAACAAACAAACTAACAAACAAACACCCTGCAGGTGGTGGTGTTATTAGCTGGAGTCTGTGGAGGCCTAGAAGGTGGGAGATTCAAGGCTGATGATCACCAAAACGTTCACCAAGAAAAAAATCAAAACCCAAAATACTTATCTATGGTTTGGATACCAGAAAGATACTGGATTAGAATTACTGAGTATTGCATTCCTCTTTGTGTGCATACAGGCTCAAAACCTATCTATCCACTTTATCTCTTCACAAGATGCCTGCCTTCTTACTGACATTGCCACCCATTAAAAAAAAAATCCTCCTGGGATTTAATATTCAGAAAGCCAAGAATTTGAATTATTAACATAAGAACCGATGACCATAAAGCTTATGGGAAGCATTATAATGTGGTAGGTTCTGGGTCAAGATTGGTTAAATCAGCATTTTAAGAACCTTGTTTCCTGTTAGTGTGTGTAGCCTGCTAGTCAGTGTCCCTTACTGGCACTATCTCAAGAGAGTTCATTGTCTAAAACTGTGTTTTGGAAGTTCAAAGGATTCAATTTTGAAGGAAAGTATAGTTTTGAAAATAAAATTTTTTTTGAAAAAAGTTTTTAGTAATTGAGTAAAATTTTTAATCTTATCTTTACCACAACTTTCTTCAACAAAATATCAAAGGCCAATGGACTACTTTACACAGAATATTAAAAAAATGTGTCAAATTTCATTTTTGTTAAAGAATTTTTTCCTCCTTTTTAGTCAGTTTTAAACATATGTTTGGATCGATGATGGATCAATTTAGTTTTCCTCATAACTCTTACAATTACTTAAATTCTTTTGCAGGTTGCATTACAACAATTTTTACAACTTTATGGAGATATAATTTGCATATTATAAAATTTATCCCATAAGGGTGAATGACATTCTAGAAATTTACCCTTTTCAATTATTTTTCAATAATTTTTAGAAATTTTACACAGTTGTAAAACCATTACCATAATCTAGTTTTAGAACATTTTCATCACTTTGTAAGAAGACTTTGTAGTCTTTATTTTCACCCCCAGCTCCAGGCAACCATTAATCTACTTTTGGTCTTTATAAATTTGCCTTTTCTGAACATTTCACGTAAAGGGGATGATATACTACATACATGGCCTTTTGTGTGTGGCTTCTTTTACTTAGCATAATATTTTTGAGGTTCATCCATGTTGTAGCATGCATCAGTATTGAGTCCTTTTTTATTGCTGAATAGTTTTCAATTGTATGGATATACCACATTTTGTCTATTCATTAGTTGATAAACATTTGCGTTGTTTCCAATTTGGGGCTATTACGAATCATGCTGCTAAGAACATTCACATGCATGTCTCTGTGAGTACATGTTTTCATTTCTTTTGAGTAGATATGTAGCAGTGGAATTACTGGGGGTGTATGATAAATGTATGTCTAATTTTTAAAGAAAATTACAAAATAATTTTTCTTATAGAAGTTGTACATTTACAAAATGTAAATATATAAAAAATTCTAAATTCTAGAGAAATAAATGTTTATTACTGGATCATATGTGATTTTATAAGTATATATAGAGAGAGTTGGAGAGGAAATATTGCTTCCTTTTGAATTTAGAGCTCAAGTACAGCAAACACTTTTGAAAAAAATATTGCAATATCTCTCAGAAATGAGATTTTCTTACTTAACTTTTTCATGCTAAATGAGAGTGAATCAAGCCTAATCAAGACGAAATTTCCTTTAATGTCCATTGAAAATAAGGAAGAATGTAGTTTGAAAATTATATTTTAAGAAGTTGATTAGACTCAGCCCTGAATGGCTTGACAGTAAATTCTGTGATTTTTTCCATGCCTTCAATCTAAAATTTTAACTGAGTTGGAAAATAAAAGAAAAAAAATTCCTTTCTGAATATCAAAAACAAACTACAAAATATAAATCCTATGATAAAATAAGCTTCTGTAGCCATGATGCCATGTAATTCTTTTAAGTAATAATTAAACATATTCTATTAGCAGATGTGAGGATCTAAGGCCCAAGATTAAGTGATTTACATATATAAAAATCACATAATAGGGGTAAATCCAGGGCTCTGTTTTTCTGTTTAAAAACTTCTTCCATTAATATACATTCTAAATCCTATTGGTCTCAGACATTTTCATATACTTTATGTCCTTTTTATAAGTCATCAGTTATTAACATGTAAAAAGAACTCTAGGTTAAGCATTTGAACATACCCATAAAACCAAAAGTGGTTATTATTTTTTCTTTTAATTAGAAGTATAACTCATTTTGAGAAATCAAACAGGTATTCTACTTTTTACTCAAGTGAGATATACTTTTTATTCTAGCTCTCAATGGCAAATAGCAGTTTTATGCATCTGCCCAAGTAAGGAGCATGTTATGGATTTTACAGGGCAAAGTGAATTTGTGTCTTCCAGTCACTCCTAATCTTAAAAATGTGATAGTGTTCAAGAGTTGGGTGCTTGGTTGGAGAAGAGAATTTGGAGATACCTACATAAGAGTGAAACAATTCAGATTTGCGTATACTCCTGAACAGAAGGCAATCTCACCCAGAATCCTGGATCAATTAGAAATAGGAATTCTCAGACTAGAAAGAGGGCCAAGGGAATGGAGTTGCTTTAAGACCATGTAGTCTGGAACCAAGACAGTTTTAGTACTTTTTTGAGGGAGAGAAGCAGAAGATCTACAGACAGTATGAACAGAGCTAGATGCCTTTCTGTACCTCCTGGACTCTCCCTTCCTGCAGGCACTACTTCCTTTTAAGCTTTAAGATCTGCTGTGCTGATGAAAGAGAGTCCCCACCCATGGGGATGTGGGAATAAGCATGGTTAACTGTAGGTTTTCATTTTTTGGGTAAAGGAAGAAACTGAAGAAGTCCAGTATGGTAGCTTTGTGAATAAAACCATGGAAGACAGGAAAGAATCAATTAGTCTTCCCAAGCATGCTTATATTTTGCTAATCATAAAGTGATTTATTTCTAGACTAAATTTTGTGGGTTGGGCTAATACGTCTCAGAAGAATAAAGCATTCTTAAAATCTGTGTGTGTGTGTGTGTGTGTGTGTGTGTGTGTGTATGTGTGTATGTGTGTAAATAAGGATGTCTTACAACTCATGCAATTATTAATACATTAGTTTGTTATGTTTATTTTAAAAATTGATAATATTGATGCTTCTATCAAAGAGCCTCTGGAGCCAGGTATAACTTTAGATCTCAAAATGCTGAAATAACCCCCTCTTGTCTGCCTTTCCCAAAGAAGCCTTTAAAATCTAATAAAAAGCCAGATTATAGGCATGATGGATTTTGTCACACTCTGAGGGTTTGTAAAAAGTCTATCAAGCCAAAAGAAGAAGTTATAAAAGCCAGGTCTTTCACAGAAACCATTCTGCCTCTCAGTTCCTCCATTCCTGGAGAAGGGTGTCTGTTTATCATCATTCCGTGCATTGCAGTGAAGAAGCAGAACTTTTCACAGTATTGAAAATTAAGAAAAACAAACAAATAAACAAACTCTCTCCATGTCTTTTTTTTTTTTTTTTGAGACAGAGTCTTGCTTTGTTGCCCAGGCTAGAGTGAGTGCCATGGCGTCAGCCTAGCTCACAGCAACCTCAAACTCCTGGGCTCAAGCAATCCTCCTGCCTCAGCCTCCCGTGTAGCTGGGACTACAGGCATGCGCCACCATGCCCGGCTAATTTTTTCTATATATATTAGTTGGCCAATTAATTTCTTTCTATTTATAGTAGAGACAGGGTCTTGCTCTTGCTCAGGCTGGTTTCGAACTCCTGACCTTGAGCAATCCACCCGCCTTGGCCTCCCAGAGAGCTAGGATTACAGGCGTGAGCCACCGCACCTGGCCTCCATGTCTTTTTAACATGCTATGAAGCTGTTTGTGTGTGTATATATATATATATATATATTCTTGTGACTCTCCAGAGGTTAAATTTGATAGATATTGGACAAACTGCTGTTGTAGTTTAAGCAAGAGATGATAATGAGTAAGTTAGGGCAGCAAAATTGGGGATAAAGAAGAGTATTCAGGTTCTAGAAATATTAGGACCTGGAAATGATTTGGTTTGATGATAGTTGGGATATGAAATTAGGAAA